GTTAACAGCCTTGCTTGCAGAGAAAAGGTTGCTAGTCTGAAATTCTGTAGGACTTTTGTCAATCTGGATCTTTCTGGAGTAAGCAATTTTTCTCTGTTTTGTTTTGTTTTAAAATAAGTCCATACAATATATTCCCCGTTTGATCTGAGAGAGAAGGCACATATAGAAATGATTTTGCCAAATAAGAGGATATCAAAGAGGGAACTTGGCTTCCAGTTGAAGCGAGTTGCAAATCTGGGGAACAGCCACCAGGAAACTTCTTTATTAACTTCACCACCTGTATCTCTACACCTGTACACTGCCTGTACACTGTATATAGCTATGGACACCAAGCTATCATTTAAAATAATCCTACAAGTTTTCACATTTGAAATCTCCTGCCTACTAAGTCAAGTGGTTAACCACTACTCTAGGTTTTACTGCTACTAAAAGGGGGTATAGAATCTATTTGACTGCATGATAAGCATGGCTCAACTGAAGTGGTGATCTTTTCTCTACAAAGTGGCCTATGACATCCTGAGATTAGCCTGCAGCCAACTGAAACTACTTGAGCTCAGACAGTGTATCTAGTATAACTGTTTAGTTGCCTAGATAGGCAAAGTCAGGCTGGGTCTTGAATGTCTTCTCTGAGAGATCTCATGTCCAAAGATCATCAGTGAGACAGTGATCAGCAGTTTCTGATTGCAGCATCTTAAGGAGCTCTAGTGCAGCAGGAAGGGAGCTCTGTTGATTAATGATACATTTTTGTACACTTTGGCTTTAATAATGAAGCAATTTTATCCAAGAGGCAAAGTAGCAAGATGGATCCTTTTCCTACTTTGGGGAAAGGCAGCTTTGATTTATCACATGTACTGTATTTATCAATATAAAAAAGGCATAACTATAGGAAAGTTTAATTAAGTTGTGATTTTATCTGAAACATTTCACTACTATTCTTTTCAGAACGAGATCGTGAAAAAAATGCCATTGGTAAGATGGGATTTAAATGCTTTCCTTTCTCTCATCTCCTTTATATATGTGGACAAGATTACCTTCTGTAATTGGAAGACTCTGACAATACTTTTTTTTTCTTAATTCTCCTGAACAGAGTCATAAAAATTTCAGTTGTATTCCATATTGCACTTGTACTATTATGAGAACATTTCAGATACTTGGAAAAGGTGGAAAGTATTTAGAGAAGTGTTCATTCAAACATAAAGCTATAGAATATATATAAAAAGAAGAGGAAATGAAAGAGCTAGTTGTACATAGGCTTCAGGTTAAAAATGGAAAGAGAGAATAAGGGAAGAAAGGGAAGAATTCACATACTAAACTATTTTTATGTGTATCTTATAATCTATGACAAGTGACAGAAGTAAGAAACAGCACATTCCACTAATGGAAATTTATCTGAACTACTATCTATCTCACATGAAGACTACTAACTTATAGTAGTCACTTATAGTACTCACTTCCATTGATTCCAAACTGACTGAAAGTAACAAGGTTTCAATCATGTACAATAATTTTTAAATATTTGTCTTTTCAAATTCTCCCATTGCTGAAAATTGATAAGATCTCTGACATTTACTGAGGGTTAACACAGCTTTACCCATTAGCAAATTATTTGCTGACAAACACCCAATTCCAGATAGTTTAGTTATATCTATAAAAGCAACAGTTCTAGTGATGGTTAATGCTTCTTTGAGTGAGGGGGTTGTTCCCTCACCTCTTAAGGAGGCTTTGGTTTGCCCCCTCCTCAAGAAGCCATTGCTAGACCCCACTATACTGGACAATCTTTTTGGGGAAGTTGATTAAGAAGGTGGTTGTGCAACATCTTCAGAAGTCCTTGGATGAAGCAGATTATTTGGATCCTTTTTGGTTGGGATTCAAGCTTGAATATAGGATTTGTCATGCTTTTGGATGATCTCTAGAGAGGGCGGGATGAGGATTGTGGATCCATCCTTGCCCTACTTGACCTCTCTGTCGCCTTCAATACCATCGACCATGGTATCCTTCTGGATCAGCTCAGAAGATTGGGAGTGGGCGGCACAGAGTTGTGCTAGTTCACCTCCTTCCTCCAGGGCCGATTCCTATCAGTGGTGGTTGGGGAGGAGAGATCCTACCCTCAGCCCCTGTTATGTGGGGTGCCACAGGGTTCAGTATGCTCCTCTCTCCTATTTAACATCTACACGAGGCCACTGAGTGAGCCTCATCCATCGTCATGGGGTGAGGTATCATCGGTATATCTCTGCCCCTGGCAAATTAAGCAATGCTATGAATGTATTATCCTGGTGCCTGGAGGCTGTGAAGGTCTGGATGGGGAAAAACAGGCTTCAACAGAACCCTGGCAAGACTGAGTGGCTTTGGGTTTGGGGGCCTTCTGATGTTAGGGCTATGCCATACTTTGGTACTGGATGGGGTCACACTGCCCCAGACAGACCCTGTGCACAATCTGGGGGTCCTCCTGGACTCACAACTCCTGCTCAAAGAGCAGGTGATAGTCATGGCTAAGAGGGCCTTTGCATAGCTTTGTATTGTGCACCAATTGTACCTCTTCCTAGAGCTAGAGGTTCCTCATTGTCACGCATGCCCTAGGGTTTCTGTAATGCACTCTACAGGGGCTGCCCTCGAAGCATATCCAGAAGCTTCAGCTGGTGCAAAATGCAGTGGTGCAGGCAGTTATGTATGCCCCTAGAGCAGTACATGTTACACCTCTGCTCCGCGAGCTGCATTGGTTGTCAGTTTGCTTCCAGGTCCAATTCAAGGTGCTAGTTTTGACCTTTAAAGCCCTTCATGGCATGGAGCCAGGTTATTTGAGGGACCACCTCTCCCTGATTACATCTCCCCATCCCATCAGGTCTGGCAGAGAAGGCATGCTGCAGGTCTCATCTGCTAGGGAATTACATTTGGTGGGTCCCAGGAGTTGGGCCTTCTCTGCTGTGGTGTCCACATTGTGGAATCTTCTCCCCCCAGAACTGAAATTAGCTCCATCCCTCTCAACATTCTGTAAGTCCCTCAAGACCTGGCTATGTCATCACACCTGGGGGGTCCCAGGGGACCAGGGAGATTTTGTGATGGCTCCCTTATTAATATTATCCCCTCCTGTTTTGTGTGCTTTTATAGTTATTTTTATTGTAATTGTATTTTATGTATTTATTCTTTTTAATTGTTGTACGGTGCCAGAGTCACTTTTATGTGAGGTGGGCAACTATATAAATACGAGAAAGAAAGAAAGAAAGGCAGGCAGGCAGGCAGGCAGGCAGAAAGAAAGAAAGAAAGAAAGAAAGAAAGAAAGAAAGAAAGAAAGAAAGAAAGAAA